AATATGTTTGATCAAACAAAAGAATAGTGAAATATGAAAACAATGATCGGTCCCTGTGGCTTGTATAGCACCTCACATCAGTTGGAAGACAATAACTTTTGCATAGATTATGGTAGAAACATTTTTCTTTTTTCTTATGATTACAGACATGTGCAGGAACCACCAAAATTAATTACAGCACCCTAGACCACACAGAACCTAAAAGGTCCACTTTCAAATTTGAGTTTATAAAAAAAAAAAATACAAAAAGCGCCTCTTTTTTTAGGTGTTTATTATGACACAGACAACATATGCAGACATTTTAAACACTTTCAATTGTGTTTTATGAAAATTCAAAGGGTTTTCTTTAAAATGATGCAAAATTTTTGCATTTACACCTCTGCATATGGATTTGGGAAGCTTTTAAATTTAGGTAGGCAAAATCCCAAAATAGCAGCAGAGTTTAACTGGTTAAACAGACATTTAACTGACTAAAAGAAACTTATACCATGCAAGTACATGTCAACTTACACTCACCCTAACTCCAACCCTAACCCCAACCTAACAGTCTACTTATAATCTAATGAGTATTAGTTGGCATGCTAAATGCGTTAAAGGGATCTTCGAAATAAAGTGAGACTGAATTAGGTCTTGAATTAATCTTCATAAAACCTACAGAAACCCTGTTATAGGAACAATCAATAATACTTTTTCAACCATGTTTTTATTTGAACATAATTGTACAAAAATAAACACTTGATCGAGTTCCTAATTGTTTAAGAGCTATGAAACTGTATTATGTTGTAAAATGTGAAACTCTGTGACTGTTAAAGATAAATGGAACCATTAAATGGAAAAATAACTAGTTAAAAAATACAAATAAAGAAGAAAGAAAAGGGAGAACTTGGAAAATAAAGTTGAATTCATATAAGACCATGCTGATACAGAGCGCAACAATGTGAATTAAGTATATTTGTGGATTTCTATAGGCATGATTATTAGCGTATTGATTAAAAACACAGCAGCTCACCCATATGGGATTGTTTTCCCACAAAATATGGTGTAGATATTCTCATAAATTGCATTATGTGATGCGAAAGTCATTCGATTTCGTTTATGGGCGTATTTGAGCATGGCGCAAACACAGTCAATAAAAGCAGATTAGCATTTTTTGCTGACTGGGTGTCATTGTAAAAGGAGATGGAAGCATTAGCGAGCGCGGCACTAAAACAATATTCAGCTTTTAATGAAGGCAGGCCTGTTTGTTTGCTCATATATTCCAGATTGAATCTCATCAGCGCTTTGAATGATATTATTAGGCCGTACAGTAATAGAGAACGTGTGTGTGGTGATGAATGATCTTTATCTCTGACAGAATCATATATTTGACCTGTCATCTGCTCTAAATGAATGATCCTATAGGCAGCACATCTGTAGTTAATACCGTTCAGCTATTTTGGTGAACTCTAGAGAAAGATGAAAGTTTAATAAGGTACTTTTGACAGCATATATATGAGAACCATGTATTTTTATCTATCGATCAGAGGAAATATTTCTCAGACTAATAAAGATATGTGCGGCATTAGGTTTTTATACCTCGGCGGATTATTTGCCGCGAGTTATTGTTCAGCTTAAGCAAAAATGTGAGTTTCTATTATAGTCCAGCGGCTAAGCACAGCTAAAGCCTTAATATCCATTTATGAAGATATTCATTTCATATTCAGCAAAATTCATGAGGTAGAAAATGTTATTATAGAGCCCATGAAAGCCAAAATGAGCCAATTGAGGAGGAAAGTTTGCACGCATGTGAACGTCTCTGTGAGTTGGCAGAGCTTTATTTAAATATTTTTAATTGAAGTGATTTTATGTTTCCTCCAAATGTTTTTCTTGTTAAATGTACAGGTAAAGTCGTAATTATTAGTCCCCCTGTATATTTTCCCCTAATTTCTGATTTACAGAGAGATTTTATTTCAACACATTTCTAAACATAATAGTTTTTATAACTCATGTCTAATAACTGATTTCTTTTATCTTTGCCATGATGACTGACTAATATTTTACTAGAAAATTTTCAAGATGCTAGTATTCAGCTTAAAGTGACATTTAAAGGCTTAACTTGGTTAATTAGGCAAGTTAGAGTAATTAGGCAAGTTACTATATAACTGGTTTGTTCTGTAGACAAAGCGGGGGAAAATATTATTTAAAGGGGCTAATAATATTGACCCTAAAATAGTGTTTAAAAAATTAAAAACTGCTTCTATTGTAGCCGAAATAAAACAAATAAGAGTTTCTCCAGAAGAAAAAAATTTATAGGAAACACTGTGAAAAATTCCTTGCTCTGTTTAACATCATTTGGGAAATATGGTGGTCATACAAAGCATAACGTCGTCGAAAGAACATCCTTGATGTTAGACATGTTTATATTCACTTTTAAGCAACACAATAGCACTGTTTTAACTTCAGAAGAGTTATGAAATTAATATTTGGCATAATAACTCTGATTTGTTATTTCCACCAATTGTCATTTAAACAAACAAACAAAAAAGGTCTAAATACAAAATTCTGTTGTATTTATTAATCTGCCTTTCTGCTATGTCATCAACTACATGGTACAGGTGATGTTTCCTCAGCAGCCAATGAGCTTGCTCCTCAACATTTTAAATACCTCATTGTAGTTTTACCCTTGCATGTGCAGCATGTTTTCTGAGATCCAGCTCCACCTTTGTTTAGACGACTTTATTCATTTTAAGATACACAAATGAAACTGTATCAAATAAAAAAACTTTTATTTTTTAATCGTATAAAATAAAATCACTGCACAGTTTAAACATCGCTAAATAACATTGATATGTTGTATCATAATATATTGTTAAATTAATATATTGTTGTTGTTTTATCCAGTTGTATGATGTATTTTGTCTCTTGATATTCAGCAATGTTTAAGATTTACAGTAATTTTATTTTTTATAAGATTGCAAATATTTATTGTTAATTTGATTTTAAGTCTATAATTGTCATTTATAAAGGATTTATAAAGCATAAATAGACCTCACTTTAGATTAGGTTACAAAACTGGATGAATTTGAGTTATTAAAGCATTTATTACCATAAAAAGTAACCATTAAAATACACTCACCGGCCACTTTATTAGGTACACCTTACTAGTACCGGGTTGGACCCCTTTTGCCTTCAGAACTGCCTTGATCCTTCGTGGCTTAGATTCAACAAGGTACTAGGAATATTCCTAAGAGATTTTGGTCCATATTGACATGATAGCATCGTGCAGTTGCTACAGATTTGGCGGCTTCACATCCATGATGTATATATCCTGTTCCACCACATCCCAAAGATGCTCTTTGGATTGAGCTCTGGTGACTGTGGAGGTCATTTGAGTACAGTGAACTCAGTGTCATGTTCAAAAAACCAGTCTGAGATGATTCGCGCTATATGACATGGTGTATTATCCTGCTGGAAGTAGCCATCAGAAGATGGGTACACTGTGGTCATGAAGGGATGGACATGGTCAGCAACAATACTCAGGTAGGCTGTGGGGTTGACATAATGCTCAGTTGGTACCAATGAGCCCAAACTGTGCCAAGAAATTAACCCCCTAACCATTACACCACCTCCAGCAGCCTGAACCGTTGAAGCAAGGCAGGATGGATCCATGCTTTCATGTTGTTGATGCCAAATTCTGACCCTAACATCAGAATGTTACAGCAGAAATCGAGACTCATCAGACCAGGCGACGTTTTTCCCAATCTTCTATTGTCCAATTTCGGTGAGCCTGTGTGAATTGTAGCCTCAGTTTCCTGTTCTTAGCTGACAGGAGTGGCACCCGGTGTGGTCTTCTGCTGCTGTAGCACATCTGCCTCAACGTTGGGCTTGTTGTGCATTCAGAGATGTTCTTCGGTAGACCTCAGTTGTAACGAGTGGTTATTTGAGTTTTTTATTTTATTTATTTTACTGTCTTTCTATCAGCTGGAACCAGTCTGGCCTATCTCTTCTGACCTCTGGTATCAACAAGGTATATGCATCCACAGAACTGCCACTCACTGGATATTTTCTCCTCTCAGACCATTCTCTGTAAACCCTAGAGATGGTAGTACGTGAACAACCCAGTACATCAGCAGATTCTCAATTACTCACACCAGTCAGTCTGGGACCAACAACCATGCCACGTTCAAAGTCACTTAAATCCTCTTTCTTCCTCCCTTCTGATGCTCCGTTTGAACTGCAGCAGATCATCTTGACCATGTCTAAATGCTCAAATGCATTGAGTTGCTGCCATGTGATTGGCTGATTAGAAATTTGCGTTAACGAGTAGTTCGACAGGTGTACCTAATAAAATGGCTGGTGAGTGTATGGCTGAATAAATAGATAAATGTTAATTTAAATAGTTTATTAATAATTTACTTACGCATTTTGAATATATATATATATATATTGAACATAGTTAATTTACATTACTTAATTACATCAATTGCATATTTCCTTCTTAGAGCAGGGGCAGGAGTTTTGAGGTTTTTAAAGGTTTTTATTTCTGTTATTGCATTGCATTGCATTTCTGTGTTGCCAGGTACCTGTCATGCATTGTGGCCTGGTGTCAGAATGAATTAACCCTGTTGAATCTGCAAAATTGACAACTTTTCAGAAACAATTTTTTAAAGAGTGTTATTTGGTGCCAGGACTGTGTAAAACGCTCACGATGAAATGTAATTGACAACTTACTCATAATGAACAGAAATTATGCCAAAATCGTCGCTAAATTTAACAGAAATGACAACAAAATTCAACATATTTGCTGCATGAGACATACCTTCATTATGTGTTTTTCTGATCTGGTGTCTGAATACCGAATGCATATGTTCCAGTTTTCTTTGGAAATATAGCAAGTGCTAAAAAGATTTGTGTCTTAATCTGTTTTTATTGTTTGCTCATATGTTTAGATGCACACATTGATTAAAAATACACAATATTAAAATATGAAGTCATTAAAATTGTTCATCTTCAAATTGTAGGTCTGTAACGACATGGGCTCCTCAAAGCAAGTCTACAATCCAAGTGAACTGAACCCCAGCAAGACCAGTCCTACGTGAAGACGGTGAGTGACTTTCTGCATCAATAATAAAGCTGTGAGCCTGCAGAGTAATTATTGATCAGCATCATGTTTATATCAGGCTGAAGATCTGCAGTTTGACAGATCCAGGCTGAAGTGAAGCGCAGGGTTTTTAGGGTAGATTTTGAGCAGAAAGCAGCATGACTGCCTCTCTTTAGGAGATGGAGGATCTGCTGGAGCTGACAGCGCAAAGACAGCTGATGGGGGACACACGTGGACAAAAATAGGCCTAAAAACGCACACATACAGATTTATCCATCTTTCAATTCTTAAAAAAGATGTATACAGTTGAAGTTAGAAATTGGGGAAAAATATACAGGAGGCTAATTCTGTTTAAGTGAGGTTTTTTAACACATTTCTAAACACAATAGTTCTAATAGCTCATTTATAATAACTGATTTCTTTTATCTTTGCCATGATGATAGTTTGCATGTTCTCCCTGTTGTTGTTGTAGGTGCTCCAGTTCCCCCACAGTCCAGACATACGCTATAGGTGAATTGAATAAACTAAATTGGCTGTAGTATGTGATGAATGTGTATGGGTGTTTCCCAGTACTGGGTTGCAGCTGGAAGGGCATCCACTCTGTAAAACATATGCTGGAATGGTTGGTGGTTCATTCTGCTATGGCGACCCCTGATGAATAAAGTGACTGAAGCAAAATGGATGAATGAATAGTTAAAAAGTGCCAATATATAGACAAGCTAATTTAAAGAATTTTAAACAATTGTGGGTAGTTATCGTCAGGACATGCTAGTTTTGTGGGTAACACTTTATTTTGATGGTCCAGTTGAGTATTAGTAGACTGTCTGCTTATTATCTGTTGATACTGACATTCAACATTTAACTGACTATAAGACACTTTGCAAGTACATGTCAGCTTACACTAACTCTAACCCCAACCTAACAGTATGGAACAAAATCTATGGCAAAAGTATTGCATTAAAAAGCTTGTTGAATAGCACAAACCGAAAAAAATAATAGACCAAATTAACAAGTTCTTGCGTTTTAATGACTTGAATTCCAGGGTTTGTATTTTTAGGTCCTAAAATTTAACACATCTGTTTATTTAAGCTGTGAATATTTCAACTAAAAATATGTTTCATATGTTTTCATACTTTTAAATTCAATAATTCACATTCAATTTCCAGATTTCACTCACAAAATGTTCAATACCCTTTAAAAATATGATGTATAATATTAAAAAGGCAATTTTCAGTTCATTTTATTTAAGTTCAAATATTCGCTTCCATAAATTCAGTGGTTCAAATTCGACTGTTAAAATTCAACATTACATCCGGGAACTGCAGGAAAAGCAATAGATTGCAGATTGAAGATCGCCAGCTGCTTTTTCACCAGCAGGTGGAGATGGAATAATTTAAGATTTTTAACCCAGTAAATAGGCGAGAAAAAAAAAAGGCACAAAAGTAGCATTTAATATTAATATCAATGTCTTGGACATTATAAGTAATAAAAAGAGTATTCAAAATAAGTGAATGATGTTTTGGTCATCTATATTTGCCCTTATGTAACGGAAGCCAGCTGGAGATCGCGTAAACCTCACTCCTCGGATCCAGCAACAGACGTTGTTCTGCAATCTTTAGCCTCCTCAGAGCATTTGTCTCCTATGCATGCCGGTATCGCTGGCTCGCGCCCTGCCAGTGGGGTTACATGCACATAAACCGTCTTTAGATGAATATGATGTTACACATTCTCTAACTTTATGACCTCAATCTTCCATAGACGTAAAGTGTAATATTGACTGCTAAAGAATATAAACATAAGAGAAACAGGAGAGCCTGTGGTTTTTATTAGTTACCATGTTACAATTTAATTATGTATAATTAAGACTGTAGTTTAAGTAAACTTTACTAGCATTATTCCTCAGAGTAAAGTTTCAGGTGAGTTAACATAACTTAACTGATCTGAGTAAATGTTCCTCAGTATAAGTAAGAATGACTTGTGTTTATTCATTTTCTTTTCAGCTTAGTCCTTTTATTAATCTGGGGTCACCACAGCGGAATTTACCACCAATTTATCCAGCACATGTTTTACGCAGTGGATGCCCTTTCAACTGCAACCCATCGCTGGGAAACACCCATACTCTCCCATTCACACCTATACACTATGGACAATTAAGCCTACCCAATCCACCTGTACCGCATGTCTTTGGACTGTGGGGGAAACTACCTTCTGCACCACAGTGCGCAAATGACTTTTTTTATATTAGTAAATAGTACTTAATGCAATAGTTATGATCACCTAATGGGGTAGCACTTTATAACAACTACACACAATAAATCATTTATGAAGCATTAGCAAATACTGAATTCATTAACAGATAAGCATTAACTATACATTAGCAGATATCAGTAAACAGTTTATAACTGAAGATACAAATGCTCTACTATTGACTTAGAAGCACGTGTATAAGGTGCTGAATGACTGTACTTTCATACTGCAAGTGATTAATTTGTCATGACTTAATTAAGTATCGCATCATTTATAAATCATTTGTATTTAGAGTAGTTGAGGTTTTAACATTATTCAGAATGAGTTAGTAGATGATTAATAAACTATTCAAATCAACATTTATATATTATCATTAGGGCAAATACTAATTTATAAGGTTATAAATGCTTTATTAACTGTTAACTGATTTTAATGTAGTTAACATTTGTATAGTTATTCAATTTTTAGGCAATTGGTACTGATATGGTCACACTGTACAGTTAGGCTTCATTTTAGGTATTTACTAATATGAACTAAGAAAAAACAATACTTGTTTAGCATTAGTTCAGCATTTACTGATGCATTATTAGTTAATGCACCGCGAGTTAACGAACTAATGAACAACTGTATTTTCTTTAACAAACACTGTAATAAATGTATTGTTCATTGTTTGTTCATGTTAGTAAATACATTAAATAACATTAACTAATACAACCTTATTGTAAACCTTGTTACCTGTTATACAGGGTGATTGAAAAAGAATACCATAACTTTGAAAATCGAGAACTCTAAGAGAAAGAGAGATAAGCTCTTTCAATCATCGATTTATGATAGCTCTGATATTAGTTAAGTTCTCTTCACATTGATTGCTGAAAGGTTCCATCATGTTTCTTTGATTAAATACAGATTTGAGGTTGTGGTATTCTTTTTGAATCACCCTGTATGTATAAATAAATATATAATTATAAATTCTGGCTCATTCTGATTATGTACCGCTAAATACATTTCTGGAGAGTACCAAATAAGACCCAGGATCTACGTTTTTGTCTTCGCGAATCCACCAGAGGCCACTGTGTGTACTTTTTTTAAATCTTAAATTTCTCCCGTGAGTGCAATTCGTGCCTGCTCTCCTCACGTAATTTACCAGAGGCCACTGTCGACTGACTTATTGACTGACTGACCGATACTCCCCCATCCACCCTCTTCCCTAAACCCAACCAACAGTATTTTAAAAAGCACAGGTAGGCCAGCATCCATCCACTTCCCTAAACCCAACCCAGCAGTGTTTTAAAAAGCAATCCAGAAAAAGGAAAGCCCTCACGGCAGCCTGATTTATTTATGTATTACCACATTTTCAGTTTTTTTTTTCCACATTCTCACCCTCGAACACCATAGTCACGGTCTACTCTGCTCTGCATCTCAAATCCTCAGACATGAGCGGCGAGCTACTGATCAAACTGGTAACAGCAGAAAAGCTGACCACACGGAGGTAACCACGAAAAGGAACGGCGTCATACAGCCGCGTAGCATTCACTTTAATGATGAAATGCAGCCATATGTTTTTCTGGCTACATAATTCGCAATCTCCAGAAATGTATATAGATTTGTATATGTATTTGTTTTCAGAATGAGCCTATGTAGAGAGATACATATATACATTTTATGGTTAAAATAATCTATTAGCCATAATATATGTTAACCACTTTTTAAGCATAAAATAAAAAATGCTTTAAAATTATTTTATGAAGTGAATTTTCCTAAATATTTTAACCTATGATGGTGATAATGGAAAATTGTCGTTTTATATATATTACATGTGTGTGTGTGTATGTGTATGTATGTATATATATATATATATATATAATTTTTTTTTTTGTGCAAATGCCTAGTCCAAGTTCTGTTCAGTTCCATACAAATAACTAACAAACCTTGGTTTTAATTAGAAATGAGCACGAAGTACCACCTTTAAATGACACAAAAGCTAAAAAGACAGAGAAAAGAAAAAGCTCAAATTGAAATGAGTGAACAAACATCTTCGTTTCCTTTTTTTTAATGTTTTGTTTTTACATTTTCTTTTACATTTGAACATTACAATAGTTTTCCTCCATCTTCTGCTCAGTTTCCTTCCGGATGTTAAATATAACTGGAGCTGTAAATCTTTTGGAGGCTCTGGGTTTAACACACCTCCGTCCACCAGACTACACCAAATCAAAGAGAAGTCATTAAACAAAAAAACAGTTTACACCTGCAGCAGAAAAAGACACATTTACATCAGAATATACATATCAGAACATTAAAAATCTGCATTTTATTTATTTATATATATGCATTTGACCTAAAACAGCTTTTCAACTTAAAAACAAAACTCATCAGCAGCTCTGGGTCAACATTTTTTCTTCTTCTTCAGTGTCTTCAACTGGCTGTATATTATTAAAATACGTCAATATTTCAGATAAAAGGCTCGCTATGTCCTTGAAATGAAATCTGAGCGCACCAGTAATAGATTGCTTTTCGTTTGGCTTCTTCTCGACCTGCGTTCTGGACGCCAGCGGCAGAAAAATAAAAGCAACATTCACTGAACAATTTTTCATACTTCAAATCTGTGTAAGGTCAGTCGTGACAGCTAGCATGTGCAAAGAGAAAACCCCTCATTCTTTTTGTACACAGTGCAAAGCTTCCTCTATGCGCTTGATCTGCGCAGAATAAATGAAATCTCACAGGACTGAGGTATGATTCATTAAAAACAAAACAAAAAAAATATTTGCTTTCTCCTGCCCAAAGAGAAGTAAACCGTTCACGTACAACTTCCAAAATCAAGAGGAACGTCCTCTATTAGACAACATTAACAACAACAGACGACATAGTAAGCTTCTTTTTTTTTCTTTTTTCTTTTCTCAGGAGTATAAAAGTGTCAGAATGTGCAGAACACAGCAAAACGTCCTTTCGTTGATCACTACACACAGTGTGCTTTAGACAGGAGTGGCGTTTCTGAAAGATTGAGCTCATGAAAATGCTGGTTTTACACCTGTCAGATGATTCAGCTTATGCGTTTACAGTCATTGAACAAATCATAATCTATTACTGGAGTATTTTACTTTTTTATCCACCATAATTGCGTCAAACATTTGTATTTCACCCTGATTTTTTTAAACATTTTTTTTAAACCATCAGAAAAATAAGTCTGAACTGGTTAATATGCGGTGACGTATATTTACAGTTACATTTCTGTCTCTTATATTTGAAACCACCATGTTTTCATTTAAAAAAACATTGTACAGTATACTTTTTTCTTTTTCTAAATGACGACAACAACAACACATTGATAGATAGATATATATATGTGTGTATATATATAAAAAGGACCATAAAAATATTGGAGTCCTCTCCCTCTGTATTGCCCAAAAATAGGTCATCATGATCCACAATGAGACTTCACAATTAAAAACAGCTACTAAGATTATTTTCTTTTTTTCCCCCAATGGATGTCTTTCAATGTGGCGTCTGTCCATGAGCGCAAAAAAATTGACAAGACTAGCGAACACTAAAAATGAGTGAAAAAAGATCACGGCTGAATAACTCGCTTATCTACAAGTGTGTCTCTAAAAGCCAAAGTCATTTCAAAAGCTGACAGAAAGGAAGAGAAGCGCGTGTAAAAATCAATTAAAAACAGGGAGAAGTCCTGCAGAGACAGGAGGGTTGGAGTAGTTACAGCAGTTGTGATGTTGGTTTTCTGAGATGATCGTGTTTGTTCTTGTCCACTTTATTTGGTTCCACCCTCCTCGTCTCTCCTTCGACCAATCAGAACCTGTAGTGCTTGAAGTCTTTTTATGACATCAACTGTACACGAACCAATCAGAGACTCCGGATGTTTTCCCAGGGCCTCCAGACAAACTCTGGCAAATCAGAACAGATACAGCATTAGATACATGAGAGCAGAAACTACACACTAGGACTAGGTGATTGAATGCGTATGTGTCTAATTCAGTGTTTCCCAACCCTGTTTCTGAAGGCATACCAACAGTAGACATTTTCTACCTCTTCCTAATCAAACACACCTGAATCAACTCATCAGAACATTAGAAGAGACCCCAAAAACTGAATAGGTCAGATAGTGGAGACAACCGAAAAATGTACTGTTAGTGTGCCTTCAGTAACAGGGTTGGGAAACACTGGTCTAAGCATCATTCAACAGCACATCTCATGTTTATCAATGCATGCTGCAATTGGATGGGTTGTGTTTAGAGCTGTAGCAAATAATTGTTTGAGAATTTGATTCTATATCAATTCAGAGATTTTTAAAATGCATAGCTATTCTTTTTTGAATAGATACTGAGCTTAGTGTTTAATGGCAGATGGGGTCTGGACTAGTTTTTGCTGTAAACTCAAATGTACGAGGACACCTGTTTTTTGGCTGAATCAATGTAAGTTGCTTTGTTATGTCATGAGATTAAATGTAAACTCACTATAAACACTCTTGTAGTTTACTTAAACCTTTCCTAACTTTGTTGATGATTAGTTACTGTTCAAGTCAAGGTAATTATAGTCGATTAAAACAAAAAAATATATATATATAATTGAAAAAGATTATTGTTAACTAAAATAAAAACGAGAGTTTAAAAAAAAAAAGTAGAACTATACTAGTAGAACTATAGAACATTTGAAACGATTCGCGTCTTCAGTAACGTTAGGCACTTTTCCACAAAATACTTTTTAACATGCCTAATGCCTCCTCTGACTCTAAATAAACCACAATATATACCAAGTTATTCAGTTACTAGAACAGTACATGGGATCAGATTTGAGAAGCGGTGAACTGATAATACTGCGCATGCGTCATTCAGTGAACAAACAGTACATGACAGCCTGGTGTGACTGAACTAAACTTGAACATATGCAGCGCGGGTAAACCGAGGGCTTAAATTAGAGGATCTAGCGAAACTTAAGTTTACAGTATTTCATAACAGAAAGTCGTAATGGAATTTATCATGGTGATGATTAAACCAAATGAAACTATGATTGCATACTACATTTTTGATATGTCCAAAACTTTGATTGTCACAAAAGATCTGGTTTGCATTAAAGATCTGAACTTCCCATCACCACTGTGTATTTAACCTCAGAAGTAGCTACTCATATATTTTATTTAAGGCTAATGGTAGCATTTTTGTGTCAAAATAAAGTAGTCTTTCTTTGGTTGATTTTTTTATTATACAATATTTATTCTGATGATTTTGAACCGTGCATCTGACAAATGTTCCAATTTTTTAAAAAAAGCACTAACACTAATAAACAATAAACTAAAACAGCAGTTTCAAAATATAGAAACTAATAAAACCTCATTAAAACTAACTCAATTTGAAAACAAAAAGTCAAAAAACGAAATAAAAACTAAAACTAATGAAAAATCTAAAACTATTATAACCTTGGTTCAAGTGGGATTTGTAAGGAAATGGATGCAAAAAAAATACAGCTATTTGTACAGCATACAGCGCCATCTGCTATTAAAAACTAGCCTAGAGCTAGTGGTGGACAGAGCTTGGCTTCATGAAACACTGAATTTGTTGAAGCAAAAGTGTCAAAGCTTCGAAACCCTACAGTGACACCTAGTGGGCATTTTTATTTATTTTCTCTGGAACAGCTTCAGCAAAGAAACAGTTCAGCAAATTGAGGAATTATACCCCGCATTGTTGAGTTGAGGTTTCAAGTAAAGCGCTGAGAGTTCCTGACTAGCATGCAGAGATAATGGGTTAGAATTCAGGGTGATCCAGCTATAGATGTTAGTTTTTAAATGCTGTTCTTGTAATGTGTTTTGTTCTAACATTGGTCTGACAACACTTTGTAAATAAATATGTCTCGTTTTGGTCATAAAAAATTTACATTATCACAATGCATCAAGTTACAATTTCTTAGTGTTTCTGAGTAAACTCGGATTAGATCTCGAGCCATTTGGAGCACAGTTAAGGCTTGTTTATACTTCTGTGTTGAGTGATTGGCGTGACCCGCCATTCTTGCGCGTTGTTGTGCATTTATACTTCTTTATGCTGTTTGTGTTGCCCAGCAATAATATTTCCAAAACACTAGCTGGTAGTGAGTTTTTATATTTCTCTGTGTCGAATTTCTTCGCTGTTGTTTTTTCTGAACGCCACCTTAATGTGCAAGTAACTAAAACTCACTCATTCTGAGGCGGGAACCGGCAGACGTGCAACAACTAATGACGTAAACACAAAACAAAAGTTTCCATCTGAAGCTTCTTTCACGGGGGACGACACTTGTAAACACTCACTCCAACAGGTTTGCGGCTCTCAGCACCGCCCACACTCATCAGCACTTCCAAGCTGAGCAATCACAGAGCTTGCGCTACACGTTGTTGCGACATTACATTAGTTACAAATGTAGTTACATTTTTTAAAAGGTGCGCGTCAGAGTCGGCGTTACCCATGGTGAGGGCTATGTGAAGGTGAAGACTGTGCCGGAGCATACGCGTGCGCTTGACGCTGAAGAAGTTTACACACAGACCACTAGGCTACATGAAATATTGTCGAAAAGGCAGTTTTGCATCAGCCATACCAACCTTGATCGCCATCTGCTGTTAAAAACTAGCCTAGAACTCAGTCAACTGTTAAAATAAATGGAGATGCAGTCTGAAAATAACAGGATTGATGAAGAATTGATTTCTTTTTATTAGACCACAGCTCTACTCCAGCAGTTTATTTTAAAACCAGATTATTTTACTGGGCAAAGATTTACATGTCCAAGAGCAAAAACATGTTTCATGGTCAGACTTAACCATTTAAACATGCAGGAAATAAAAGTTAATTTCTTAAGGATATAAAAGTTTCAGATGTCATAAAAATAGATGGGAGATGTAAACGTCACATATTTTTTATTTTAAAAGGTAAAACTTGCCAAGACTTTCATATAAAACCTGCTGGCTTTCATAGACAACTTAGAGAGTTTTTCAAGTGTCATTAATAGCTGTTCACATATTGCCAATATGAAAAATGTGATTAATTCATTGCAAATTCTTACATATAGCCCCTTTAGTTTGAATGGAACAGCAAAAAAGTAAGGTTCAAGAACATGATGTTTTCTAAGAGAGAAAGCCATGCGTACCTTCAAAGAGTTGGTGCCTCGTCTTCAGCTAGCTTTCAGTGGTACCCATTTGTAAATGCTGTGGCAATCAAAGGACCCTGAAAGTAGATAATGTGCAAGACGATGAGCAGAATCATTCACGCAATATGAAAACAGACAGAATAATAATAATAATAACACGTCTCTTTAATGAACAGTATGAGATTCCTCTCTCATGTAGAGAGTCAAGAACTCCACTTTAGGAGAACATGATACTGATAAAAGACTCATTCAAATCTGTGATGTGACTCTAATTGAGAGCCGATATCCTGCTGACGATGGAGCATGGCTAGTCGGGCATCATCTTCTATTTTTATGCTTAAATTAGACTACACCTTCATGCAGCTCGGTCAATGCATTTCTGTGGCTTCAACTCCTTTCTATTTCAATTCGGTTTTTAAAAATGAGCTTTAGCTATTTCTCAAATTATGTCTTGGTGATATGGTCAAACAAAAGTATATGTTTTATTTCCCCTCTGGAAAGAATGAGCAATTTTAACTCACATGTAACACTTAAATAACCTTCTCTGTATTAAATCACTGAATATTATTGTATAGAAGAATAGAAATTATGTTCATGGCTGAGATAAAGTTTCATAAATGTTGCATTTGATGCTAATTTTATTTTATTATAATTAATTAACTGTAAGTAATGTACGGTTAACAAGCAAATAGCTAGTCATTACTGGAATGGTAACCTACTTGCTGTACAAGTCAGATTCACGTCACACATTGTTCAGCTGCTTCAGATGTGCATGCAATGAATCAACTTAATTTGCAGCACAATTGGCTTATACTGATTAAGAAATTTATATATATATATATATATATATATATATATATATATATATATATATATATACACACACACACACACACACACACACATACCTGTCAACCCACCCGTTTTCCCCAGGATTCTCCTGTATTTTACACTTCTATCCCGCTATCATCCCGTAAAATTTACCTTTATTTCTCCCACATTTTCTATGAAGGGTGGCAATAAACATTAAAGAGTCGATTCTCCCTATACACAACCTATACCACCGAACCACCAGGGGACACCCCTTGCTCTTAAATGTGAATCTGTTCAGTGCTTTCCTTTTATTTAGGCATGAAAACACTTTGAAAAAAAGATAAAAATGATGGGATTCCCTTCTTTCTCCATTACAGGTGCTGTTGCCCCTCTTATGCAATCCTCAAAGCATCAGTTCGTGTAGCGGTGCTTGACTGCTCCATTGTGATAAATAGGTGCTGTTTCCCAAACTGATTAGACACACATGATTTAAAGCGAAAGTGGACACTCTGGGCTCTTGGGTACGTGTTTGAACAAACATATAAACATAATAATATCTAAACATGTCGACCTTGGTGGCTTTTCTTTTAAGCACAGCTAATTTATCTTAAATGAGCATAAAAGGATGCAATCGAATGCTTTCAATGTAGCTGCTCTTGCTTCAATTTCTTTATAATAGCTATTAATTTGCAGCTTTTTGTAATGTATACTATTTATTTTATCCTTTGTAAATAACAATAATAATCATTTAATAATTGTATTACAAACTGTTTAACAAAACAGGTTTGTTGTAATCGGATGATCACAATAAATATCCTCGAAAAAGCCAAAGCAAACACTACCAGACAACTGTGGTATAAATACAACAAACAAAAGAGAGAGATCGACTTAGAATGTCTCTCATCAATGATTTGATCAGCTGTAGTTTGAAATAAGAAAAGAAAACGCTGAGATTCCTCCACTAAGGACTTATGTGATCTCTGTCACCATCTTGTGGCTGTCAACTGTCAATTTCTTTGCTGAATCTCCGAAATGATAAATGTTTTAAAAGGGGCACTATCCTTATAAATAAATGGCATAGCTGCAAATATAAATAACTACATTCTCACCTAAAAAAAACTCTCAAAAGGAGATTATGTTGTCCAACAGCTGCGATATTTATCAAACTGTAGTGACTTTATTCCTCTGCTTGTAACTATGTGAGCAGAGTTATACACAAGAATGAAGAGGCTGTACAAGTGCAGTTTTGGCAAACTGTGCCTTTAAGAAAGTCACAGCACATTTTTCTTTTCTTTTTTTTTTTATTGTGAAACACATTTTGTTTTTCACTGAGTCCTCCAATCCAGACAATCCTATGAGGAAAAAGCTTTTTTAAGCTCTATACAGCCAAACATCAGTGTTAGAAAAACTCCAGCTGTATGAACCGAATCCCTTTTAGGAGCACTCTATAATGCATGATCCTACAAATTAAACTGCTGCAATCCCCATCAGAGTAACTCGAAGGCCTTTGAGCAAAAGGAAAACACAAGAAAACATATTTGCCTCTTCTGTGGAGCTAATCAGTCCTGAATAAGTAAATAAATCCTGCCCATTGTCAGTCTGCGTTTGTGAACTTACAAACCCACACGGCTGATTTAGAGGGCAAAACGGCAAGCTGTCAACAAGCCTTTCTGAGAAACACAGCCGCTTATCGGGCCTGTCATCAGACTATTGTGTGCATGGCAGGAGCGGATCTGTCTAATCCATACGAATAAATCAAAGTCAGTCTCGCACCCGCTGCTTTAGAGGGCAGGAAGGAAAGGCTTTCTTAAGTTTATATTGGCTTTTCTGCCAGGCTTCCTCGTTTTAAGAACTGAGCGTAATGAAACTTTATTTCATCTTGATACTACAAGTTTTAAAGAGAGAGAGAGAAAGAGAGGGAAGGGGGATCCAGTAGGAGGTGAACTGGTGACACGTGTCAGAAAAATAAATGGAGACGAGCATTTTAGTTCTGCGTCATTTCCCGTGTTAATGTTCTGCACGGAGACATCAAGAACTACAGATTCGCACACATCTATCAGTCCAGCTGAACGAATGCTCGCTAAATTTGGAATTAATCACACAGCACAAAATGGCACTCACTCAAAAACCACACTAATGCCGATAAATAAAGTTATGAATTCATGCGGTGACATGTTTTATTTAGATGCCGGGAGGCTGAAATGAAGGATGAAAGATCCAGGTTTGTGATCACTTCGGCTTTCTAAGCAGCAGTTAATATCTCTGCCATCAGCCAATTGTCTTTATATGCCATAAACAGCTGTTTATGAGCAGTTCTTCTACACTTGCCAGCAATTTAACTACTTAAAGACAACTTCTTTCATTCAAAGGCAGATGTAAATGTCTTGCTTAAGGGCCTAATGGTGATGGTTAACAGACACTCGGGATCTTTAGTTTTCTAAGCAACACGGCTCCGGTTGTGATGGGAAAAATATCCCCAGTTTACAAAGTTCTCCTCCTCTGCACGAGCTCACAATTTCAGGAATAGTTTAGACAAATATTACAGTTCTTTCATCATTTTCACAGTCAGATTAAAATTGTGGACTGTTCAACTCATTTCAGGTCACTTTCAATATATCACACAAGTAATTCACAATGAATTACTATTATAGAACAAGAAATATTCGAGTTCTGTAGTTTGGAAAAGCATGGATTTGGTTGGAGTTATTTCCAGGTGGAAAAGTAAATCAAAATGACATTTCTAGACAGTCAGTTGTGGTTTTCTAAAATATAAATAAAGCATCTGGTGTTCATTCTTCGTATCTTGCTTAAATGAGGGTTCAATTGTCTGGACTGTACCCTAAGTTCATTTGTCGTCACATTCTCGGTTGGTTTGTCTTCACTCTACTGTCTTTTTTCCTTCTGAACCCTGGTACTCTTGCGTCATTGAGCTGCTGTTGTGTTTACGGCTGTTGCAAGATGACGAACACGAAAGCACAGCACCAAAATGGAAAGATGTCTGCTTATTGCAGTTGTTCTGCTTTTACTGAATCTTTTAGTTTTGAACATACAGAAAGCAGCTTACATCCATCTGCCGCAAAAATATTAAAAACGTTCAGAACAAATCACGATGTCTGCAGAAGCTGTTTTTGGAGGAGACAAGCAGACATTTTCACTGTGTTTGCCCGGGCTCAGTCCTGCTTGTTAGCAAGGTACATTATGTGATACACACACACACACACACACAAATGATCATAATGAAAACTAAAGTTTGTTGTACAGTTGGCGGTTCACTTCTGTTATTTTGTATGATTGCATTCATACCAGAAGTGAACCGGACCAGAGTTTGCATGAATTGTAAGCGTGACTTCTTTGGTTCTTCAAACAAGTTTGCAAATCAGATTAAAATGTCTGGATGAACTAATCTGAGATGGCTGGGTGTGTTGTGAAGGACAGATCTATCGATCCTCGAAATCATGATCACAGCAGCGTAATGAAATCATCTGATTAATATTCAATTATCCACGCAAGCAAAATTACATCAAACTCATAGGAAATGGTTTGTTATACAGTATATGATACACAATCACTTTTCACCTTTGCTGTGGGCTGCAGGCTTTACACTTTCATTTATCAATTTATTTAGTTTAACATTTAGAGCGGATTTTCTTTATGATAGTAGCCTATTCCTAAGTTTCTTAATCAGCGTAAGGAATCACTTATATTGGCTCAAATAAATTTTGCATCAAAAAAGCATTTTGGTGTCAGTAAAGGTGTCTGCAACCTTTGCGGAGCATCAAATCACCATCACATTAGCTGTCAAACAATGTGCATGACTGCATAAATGATTAATCCTTTCAAATATAAAGAGCTAGAATATTGGGCATGTCTATTTTCATACACAAATTGCACTAAATCTGGGTCGGTTCCTAAAAAGTATGCGTTTGAATCTAAAAAGTCACCTGCATGACGGTTTTTGTACTTTTATTGCAGAGTGTAAATTGCATAAGTTTTATTTATATATATTTTAAAAACTTCTAATATATACAATTATAGATTTTATATTATATAATTTTAAACTATTTTATTATTTTCTCCAGTGTTTATATCCTATTGGTTACTACTGTTGGAAAACATCAGAATTCGGTAATATGGAAATGTAGTTTCCTGGATGTAAATGAACGCACACATCCACATGTCAATCAATCAGAGAAAATGCAATCCTGTAGGTTAATGGTTTTTACACTTTTTCCAAAGTCAAATCTCAGCACTTTTTTTAGATGTGGAAAAATACATATTTACATACATATACAGTACATACCTCAGCAGAAGGGCCAGGCACAATCTGCAGACATTTTTTGCTATTTCTGCGCAGATTTTTGTAAAAAAAAGATTTACGCAGAATTGTTTTAGGAGTATTATAACTAAAAACTTAATATATGAAAAAAAATAATACATTTTTTAACTTTAATTCAATGTTTACAATGCAAATCCAATTAGATCCTCTTATTTGGTAAACAAAGCAAGTCTCTCATATCATAGATCTACTAAAAGACATGAAATATGACTTCACTAACTGTATTGTAAATAAATCAATTGAACATTTTCATATTAGTCAGTAATATTACTAAAATTACTTTCAAAACTGAATAAATGTACATCTACACAAGTAAATAAAGACTCAATGATGGGCTAAAAATCTGCAGATTACTACACGCACAGATTCTGTGTGGTCAAACTCATCAGATGCTATTTGTTATATTATTCTGTAATACAGCATGGCATCAAAGATGGATTCTGATGGCATGTTTCTCCCAAGCCCAACATTGAACTACTGTTATTATTAAGTCATCTTTAATCTTAAATTGAAATAATACTAATCTGTGCTCTTTGATTAGACAGGCAGATCATGCTATGTGCACATGCACAGACTCCACACTTTATATTTTATGCAAAAGCAAAACTATTTCTTTTATTATTGTTACCTATTTAGTAAGAGAACTCATTATGAAAGCAACCACTATCCAAAATCCAAAGCATTATGCAAACCTTTGAAAACACTTGATTAAAATATAAGAATTTCCAGCACTTTTTATTATATATTTTATTATATAAGAATAACCCTGCAGGTTAGAGATTGTATTTTATGGCTGTGAAAATCAGAGCTACTACGATAAAAATAGTTTATATATAAGTTAATTATGGTTAAAGAGTGTGGAAAAGTATGGAATGTTTGCATTGTAATTGTTTAAGATTACCCTCCATATACAGGAGCAAACTAACAAGCAGCCAAACAGCAGAAATCTTCAGCAAACACTCGCATAAATCAAAATCTGCTTCAGTTGGTTAAGAAACTGATTTGAGAGAACGGGGTGAATAATTTAATTTCAATTTGGCAGCTCATTATAAATGCTTTCTTCTTCAAATTGAGATGGGCGCTGACACCGAGCCGCAACCTGACGTCCGTGACATCTGCAGACAGAATGCGTGCGCTCGCCGACAAAAGCCAATTAAAGCAAGTTTTTTGTGCAACGCAGGGGCTTTCGTTTGGAGACGGTGTCAAGAGCATCTGCTAGTTACAGGGACATCTGATTTTGACAATTTGCTCATTTCCAACCATGGCAGCTTTTTGCTTCCTCTAAACTGTTTGTGATGCTTTTATTCCCCAAACAAAACATCAGCGGGACGAGAAGTGTCAGTCTAACGGAGACTCGTGACTCATTGGGGTATTTTTGAACATGTGGAATGGAACTAATTCCTCTGATATTCTTCTTTCCCCAGCGCTGCTTTTCTAAATGGCTGTGCTGACAATCAAGCCCTCACTGTAAAAAGTGAGTCACGACTGAGGAACAGCCAGTCAGACTCGCATTTCTCAGTTGGAGGTTGAATATAATTAAAAACTAGGACGGACAAGGACTAATAGTGAGCACTTTTTGCATCTCTTAGCGTGACTGAGAGTGTAACATATAGCTCTACTCACCGCGATACTGTGATTGAACCCGGAGCCTGGCTGAGGACTGGCAGCGCTGATGTAATTTCCCACTGCTGAGTCCTGACTGCTGGGGCCATACAGGTCTGCCACGGGGCCAGGACTGTTCGCACCGGGGAAACCTCCAGGCCGAGGAGGGTTAGCACCTGTATAGGACACACATACACACTGGCGAAATCAGTTTCACTCTATAATAAAACCACTAAACAACCACAGAGAAGATGGAAGAAGCCATGTTCACTTAAAATAAATAAATAAATGAATGAATGCTTTTATTCAGCAACGACGCATTTATTTGTTCAAAAGTGAAACCACATTTATAACACTCGTAAACAATGTTCTTTTAAGCTTTTCATACATCAGAGGAAATCTAAAAAGCATGTCACGTGCTTTAGAAAAAAACACTAAATCCCCCATTTCACAATTAATGATTCTATTCATTAGGATTAAACAGTCATTGTCTGTATTGTTTTTTTAATTATTAGTATTTTTTTGGAAAGTTGTACTCAGGGCTTCACATTTACTTTTTTGATCACCAGCGACTGTGGCTATTAGTTTTCCAACGTTACTAGCCACTCGCCATTGTCACTAGTTCATGGGTGCCTAAACTTTTAAGTATGAAGGGCCAAAAACCAAATATTATCAAGAGCCGTGGACCAAAGGGTAAATTTACCAAACTATATTAAAATAAAGTTGCCATGGGCATTTGCTAATTTTATTATTATTCATAATATTTCAAAATAAAAAAAAACCATTACTTTAAATCGGATAAACCAATGCAGTATAACTTTTTAAATGATGACTTATTGCAATAAAACATAAACAATCACATTTATAACACAGTGGAGTGCAATGCTGAATACACTAGTCAAGCAGAATCTGCCTTTGACTTGATTTGCTCATCAAGGTCTCTGCATTGTCAGGTGACTGTATATAGATTTAAGCAAAATCTGATTAATTTAAACCATTTAATAAAGCATTTAATTTCAGCTTTTAACAAACAGACAAAGCTTAAAACAAACAAATGTTTGCATTAAATTTGGATTGACAATCTCTAAACCTTGTCCCTCTCTTCTCAGATGGAATGGTGAGCCAAATCAAAGATAACCATGGGACAAATTTGGCCCACAGGCCCTAGTTTGGTCATCTCTCTACTAGACCAACAATTTTTTTGATGGAAAAAATACATTTTATATGTATAATATTTGACTGTAGCATGCTAAATTGACTTCATTTACATTTTGTGTTATGTCCACGTCTCCTCGTTCATTTTACTTGTTTTATATGTTGTGTGTGATCTTGCTCAATGAGCTGAGCAAATGGATTATGGCTTCTAAGTGTCAAATTGCAATTAGTTTTATTTCACATGAATTTTTAGAGCTCTAAGGATACTAAGGATTTATCCATTTTTCTCTGGCCACACCAAACTAATTATTTCCTTGCCACAAAATGTAAATAATGTGTCAAAACAAGCAAAATGTAGCTGTTCATTCATTGATTTTCTTTTTAGCTACAGGACGCCACAGCGAAATGAACTGCCAACTCGTTCAGCATATGTTTTACACAGCGGATGCCTTTCCAGCTGCAACCCATCTCTGGGAAACATCCATACACACTTATTCACACTCATACACTAAGGACAATTTAGCGTACCCAATTCACCTGTACCGCATGTCTTTGGACTGTGGGGGAATCCGAAACACCCAGAGGAAACCCACGTAAACGCAGGGAGAACATGCAAACTCCACACAGAAACGCCAACTGACCCAGCCGAGGCTCAAACCAGCAACCTTCTTGCTGTGAGGCGACAGCACTACCTACTGCGCCACTGTGTTTCTCACTTATAGCTGTGTACATTTAGTTTTTTCAACAAAAATGTTCTTAAAAAAACAACAGACATTTAAAAATATATATCGTCATGAATCTAAAATGCACAATAGTTTGTCCAGACTAAAGGTCCATCAGTGAACCATAGATAAATGGAGAGTTAATCTATTAAAGTAATGTTATTGTAAACATTAAACCATATTAACAAAAATAACTAGAAGCAAAAAAAAGCAGGTAAAAATCATTCCATGTGCGATAATAAAGGATAATCATGTGCACATGGCCCATTAATAATCTGTTCAGAGAATGGTTAAAACAAAAGCGGCAACTGCTGCTGCTTACAAAAAAAAAAAAAAACTGTAGCTCTGGAAAGCAGCAGGACTGTGGGTGCATGAGCACCGCTGTTTCCCAGTCTATTTAAAAGAGAGGCAATCGCACCAGTTGTGTTCCCAAGCACGTTTACTTCGTGCAAGGATCCGTGAGCTTTTAAGCTCTCACAAGCATCACATAAGTTCTACATGCACGACATGAAGTCCTCGCCTGATCATTTTTTCATTCAATATTCACTTGCTTTTTGCTTGCACAAACAGTTATCAGTTGTGCTGATCGCAGTTGCACACATATTGACAAACGCTCTTAAACTAAAGTTCTAATCTTTAGTGATGAGCCAACAATGGCAATTTAAAAGTTATTTTCAAAAGGCCAAAGTGGCTAGTGGAGGTGGCTGTCCAACTCAACACAGCTGATATCCCGCATTTGGCGAGTGTTAATGTCAAGCCCTGGTTGTACTACAGTATACATCAGAAGTGTCAAACTCAGTTCCTGGAGGGCCACAGCCCTGCACTGTTTAGTTTCAACTCTGCTTCAACACACTAACCTGTAAGTTTTAAACAAGCCTGGAGGACTCAATTATTTTTATCAGGTGTGTTTAAACACAGTTGGAACTAAACAGCAGAGCTGTGGCCCACCAGGAATTGAGTTTGGCACCCCTGGTATACTGCAAGTTAACATAGCCCTTTACAGAATGGCCAAAAATGCCTCATACAGTAAGCTATTGGTCTTTCTTTCTAATAATTAGATAAAGCAGATATTAATTGACTGTACAAATTATCACGTGTACAGCTCCTGGCTTTTAAAGGGATAGTACACCCTAAAACACAAAAGAACATATTTTGAAAAATGTTGGCATTTATATTGGAAAAAACACATTTTATTATAATAACAGGATTTTCCAAAATAACTTTTTGTGTGTTCAACAGAAGAAAAAAAGTTGAACAGGTGTGTGAAAAGTGAATGGAGAGTAAAGAATGACAGTTTTCAGTTTTGGGTGAACTAACCCTGTGTTTGGTTGAGGAGACATGGAAATGTGCAGAGCTGGTGGTCCTTCAGGAACGTGGCTGAGAAACAATGGCCTAAAGGACAGTTTAACTACTCATGAAAAACAAGGATTTCATTGCTGTTTGTAAGATGACAATATTTTTTTATACTCTTTGTGTTTTTAAAAACAAAAATTTCCTAAATGAACAGCCTTCACACATGCATGGCCAGTATTTAGATTAAAAACGCCCACAATGTCCATGCAAAACAGTCTGCAGCCACACGCTGTGCTGTGCATTAGGCAGGTCTGACAGAAGGACGAGGCAGGGAGAAACACAGGCTCTCCTGCTGTGCTAAGAAACACTGAGCTGAGATTTGAACATGCATGTAAAGACTGAGCTGCTTTTGTAAATGCTCATTCCCCATATCTCTCTTCACAGTGACCGTATACAGCTGGAGGACAGAACATCAGCGCCTGCAGTCGCCACAGGTATCAACACAACCAGATGCATGTGTGTGTGTGTGTGTGTGTGTGTGTGTGTGTGTGTGTGTGTGTGTGGCGCATGCAGGGATTTCATGTCACATACAGCGCTGTATTGATGCTTATATTAGTACAATCATGACTGTGTGGGGGTTGGGCTAAATAAAACTATCAAAGTAGGTTAAAATGCTGTTATGATGCGTACATGCTAATAGTCACGGAGGATATAAGATTTTAATGATATGATAACATTAGATAAATATGTCACAGTACTGTTATTACGGCTCTACAATATGTCCTTTTTAAATGTCTGGATAAATTCTTTTTTTCCATTGAACACAATATATTTTATTTAAAGAAACATTTAAAATATTTTGGAAAACGACTAAATTATTCAAATAAATCATTCATTGATTCTTCTGTCTTCATTAAATTCCACAACACAGATTTTTTTACAACTTGAAAAGGTGTATTTCGATATCTTTTCTGTGGATATAAATTAAGCCACTGCACTGCTCAGGTCTATAGTATGCTTGAACGTTTAATATGTATATATACATGTATGTGTAGACTCCCTGATAAAAGTCTTGTCGCTTTTCCAAGTTTTAGGAACAACAAATAATAACTTGACTTCTAGTTAATCATTTGGTATCAGAAGTGGTTTATGCGAAAGGCAAAGGCCTCTAGATTACACTTTTTTAGCTAAATAAAATTAATCATGCCTTGATTTTTTGTCACTTAACAGAAATAATGTACAGTATAGAATATAAAATCATGCTGCAGTGGAAAAAGAATGATTATTGTGTATGACTCCCATGAGCTTGGAGGACTGCATTCATACATCTCTGCAATGACTAAAATAAGCAAAGAAAGTGTTCTTGCAGGACTCCCAGAGTTCATCAAGATTCTCTGGATTCATCTTCAATGCCTCCTCCTTCACCTTATCCCAGACATGCTTAATAATGTTCATGTTCGATGACTGGGCTGGCCATTCCTAGAGCACCTTGACCTTTGCTTTTAGGAAGTTTGATGTGGAGGCTGAAGAATGAGAAGGAGTGCTATCCTGAGGTAGAATTTGCCCTCTCCTGTGGTTTGTAATCGCACACCCCTATACAGAATGTAACCCTAAACCATGATTTTTCCTTCACCAAACTTGACTCATTTCTTTGAGAATCTTGGGTCCATGTGGGTTCAAGTAGGTTTTCTGCAGTATTTGTGATGACTGGAATGCAGTTCAACAGATGATTCATCAGAAAAATCTACCTTCTAACACTTCCAAATGATCAATCAGAAGTCAAGTTATTCTTTGTTGCTCTTACAACTGGGATTGAAGACAAGACTTCTCTCAGATAGTGTAAATATATATATAGAAGAGGTTTTCAGATGTTTGCTGAATCGTTCAGCTTGATGACTGGAGATACTGCTGCCCTAAAAAAAATAAATAAAATAGTTGTAAAAAACAAAAAACGAACATGTATCTTAGGGCCTACTCACACTATGCTATCTGAACCATGCCAGGGCCCATTTTACGGATTGTTTGAGAAGTGTAAGTGCTCTTAATCAGGCTCATAAACGGTTCACCTGGCCGGCCCTGGCCCGGTTGGAAGAGGTGTGCCAGGCAGAGCAAACCATGCCTGAGCCCAAAACGGAAGATGAGATGTGACATTTAAGGGACTGTTTCATGTGGATTTATTAATCATTTTTACTGTTTAATGAACACAAACTGGCATAGATTAAAGACAAAAACCCCTCACTGCACGACAGCTGCACCTTTAGCAAACCTCCTAATTCCTGCAACACGAGGACTTTGATTGTTTATGAGCGTCAAAAGTTGCTGATCTGTTCGACAAAATATTTGACTGCATGTCACTGCATATCAAACGACTAAAACAATATCAATAAAGAAATCTCCACTGTACTGAGCCAGAGCGCTTCTCTACTGAACAGCTCATCATCAATGACGTAAGCGTGTCCAGGCCCGAATGTAATGTGAATGCGGGCCGTTGGGGGAGACGGGAGGGGGGACAAGCGTGCTTTGGCCCGGTTCAAGGCAACTGTACAAAGTATGAGTACACACTTTGAAACAGTAAATTTTGTCGATTTTAAAACTGGTAATTTTCCCATGCCTACATGCTAGTTGTCATTCAAAACTAGAGTTATATGGTTTAATTCTTTACAGAAACATTAGGGTAAAAAAATGTATTCTTGAAATGAAATTATGTTAATTGACATTTAATGTGCATATACAGATACAGTACTTAATCACAGCGTGTTAATGAAGTGATGAGAGTCAGCGCTAACTCTCCTCTCCCTGGACGTGCTGTTCTTATCGGAGCACTCCGGCTTACCTTTCTTTCACACTCTTTTATGTGTACTGTAATCTTTATTCCACATAATTGCTGGATTCTGTAAAGGTGAGAGCTGTGCTTTCTCTCGCTTTGCCAGGAATGGGATTTATGCTCCAAATTAAACCCTGGGGCTAAACCGTTACTGCTATTAGCTTTAATAGCTAAACATGACTTACATTTATTGGCTTTGACTGGTAGCTTAGCAGCACCCATGCTAATTAAAGCCGCCGGCCTGTGATTACGCAGCGTGTTTTTGAGACACAGGTGACTCATCTGTCCCGCTCTGGCTCCCAGCACTGGGGTTTTAATCGATGTCACCCTGCGCATCCTTTTGGCGGGATAACAGAGTGTTTCTGCTGAGCAGGGAAAGCCGCAGTAATGTAGATATTCTCCAGTACAAAACTACACACCAGAAGTGCCAGTATTGACCCCTAAAAAACCTACGATTCATCGACTTTGTCCATGTTGCCACAGCAACAAGACATTCGGACAGACCTTCAATACAGCGCACCTGTATTTAATGGAGCTTTCTGGAAATGCTCTAAAACTTTGCTGAAAGCAATATTAAGGACATACATTGCAGTAGCAAAATAAGATTTTGTTTCTGTTTTGCCAATGCAAAAAATAAAACCCAAGAATGTTGTACTTTTGTGTTGGGCTGATGAAATCTAGCAAATTAAAATCTGGCCATTAAAGCGCTATAAAACAGCCCCTGCCTCAGCAGGGTGTTTTCACACCTCTAGTTTGAATAAAGTCAGGAAAGTGGGTGATTCCAGCTCTGTTTAGATGCGGGTGTTGAGAGGTGAAAGGGTTTGCATGAAAAGGGGAGTTTGATTACGTGCACAACAGCCGGCAACACAAACACAGACGCAGGGGAGACAGTGATTCAGACAGCAGCATTTACAGCTGATCTGAGAGCTGTGTGGAAGTGGAGGATTTTTCAGTTGTGATATTACTATAAAGTAATATAAAACTAAATCATTTTGACTAAGGTGTGTCTTTAAAAACTGAAAGAGTACTGCTGACGATACTAACTAACTTTGCCATCTGAATAAATATAAACAAAGACACTGACCACACACTCACCAGATCTGTACAATCAACACTAACCACATCTTTTTTTTAAATCTGGAATTAAAAATCCCAGGATGTCCTCCGAAAAAGAGTAGGGGTTTAACCCCGGCATCCTGGCCAAATCTGCCCACTGGCCTCTGTCCATCATGGCCTCCTAAACATCCCCATATCATAATTGGCTTCATCACTCTGTCTCCTTTCCACCAATCAGCTGGTGTGTGGTGTGCGGTCTGGCGCAATATGACTGCCGTCGCGTCATCCAGGTTGATGCTGCACACTGTTGGTGGATGAGGAGATTCCCCCCTATGTTTAATGCGCTTTGAGTGTCCAGAATAGCGCCATATAAATGTAAAGAATTATTATTATTATTATTATTTACAGTACTTCCATATGATGATTAATTTCAGAGAATTAAAAATTACATTCATGCCTTTTTGAAGCATTTAAACACTGAAAGCACACTCAAAAATCTATTTAGATTTAGTCTTTGTAATTTGGGGCCAGACCAGCAGCAGAATGAGAACAGGTTGGGCTTGTGGCCAAAGCTACATCTATGTGATCACTGGTGTAAAGCAGAAGGACTACAGACAGTTTCCTGTTGACTGCCAAATGAAATGAGGCGAGAGAAGTGGGACAGAAGGAGGTGAATCTCAAAGATCCACGACACCTGGCCTGGCATGGGCCGTGTGGCCACAGTGATCAGGTCTGAACCACAGATGTCCAGTACACAATGCCTGACCTCACTGGATCTTTTGGTAGGACAAAACAAGAGCTTTACATGCATCAGTCTGTCTGCAGATTCAAACCTGGAGTCTGAATTTCAAGATCATATTAAATGTAGAATCAGGAATGAAAACATAATCCACTTCATACACAGTTGTTTTATGAGTTGACACCTGGCATTCAAGAGACAGTTCACCCAAAAAACTGGATTACTGTACCTCACATTTACTCTCCTTCATGTGGTTTTAAACGTTTATGCTTTTCTTTCTATGAGGAATGTTATATGATATTATGAAAAATGCTGGTTGCGGATACTTATCAACTTTCTATATCAGGTAAAACATTACTGTACAAGTCAGTGGGTGCCAGCCATTAACCTTTGTTTTCAAACTATCATCTTTTGTGTTCAACAGAAGAAACTAAAAGAGGTTTTAAACAAGTTTGGGGTGAGTAAATGATGGCTGAATTAGCTTTTTTTGGCTTGCTATCCCTAACGTGTTGTAGATGAAGTCAGCACCTATCAAAGACACTTGTTCAGATACTCACAATAAATAAACTCAAATAAATGCAAGTAAATTAATAATAAAATAAATAGGAAAACATGACACAGCAGTTGTTTCCTAATAATTAAGAATAATCCGGTAATAGAAACAGCAGTACTGGAGAAATAAAATGTCTGCCATACACACCTGAGCTTTTAAAGTGGTCCGGGCTTGGGTGGTGCTGGGACGGAGAGTTGCAGGTGGAGGTGACGTGCTCGCTCTGCAGCATCTGACCTGTATGGGGTCCCAGGGTGGCATAATCAGCAAAGGAGCAGGGGGCGGCCCGCTGGTCTCCAGGCCCAGAGTAAAAGCCATAATCTGGAAACCCTGAGAAACACAAAGAGGTGGAACACTGTCAATGAGGAGCACTGTGTAGGTCATACGCAATGACAACTAACCAACGCAGTGAAGTATGAGAAATGACATGAGGCTGAATGATTCCTATATACACACACTCAAGGTAACAGTTACTCAAGACATAAACAAACCAAAAGACGATTTCGATACTACCTCTAAAGAGAGACCTATTAGCATTTTAGATATATCAAATCCAATGATGAATTCAGCACGTGGTTTAAGTGGAGTTTATTTACAAAAATTTCAAGAGGATCACATACTTATGATTGATCACAGCTGGTCCTGCATTAGCTAACACACGATTCACCAACCAGATGATTTATAACTCACTATACTGTAAATAACCAGTTTTTTTTTACCTCAGTATCATCGACTTTCTGTGCGGAGTTTGCTTGTTCTCCCTGTCCTTGGTTTCCTCCCAGTCTAAAAACACGCGACTTAAGTAAATTGAACATACTAAATTGGCACTATAGTCAAGCTCTTAGTAAGCTGTATTTTTACCTATAGCCATAGTAAGTAAGAGGTAGTTCTCAAGATCTACCTGAGCTGAAACTACACTCTCGCCCTGCTGAGGATTTCATAAGCTCGAGGCTCTTTCCCATGACAGCATGATTTATAATCAACGATCAGATAACTGTGAACTCTTAAAAAATGGCAGTTCATCCAAAAAAAAAAAGAAAATTCTGCCAATATTACTAGGACTGCACAACATAGTTTTAGCATCGATACTGCAACGCATGTATTCGCAATATCACAGGATCAGCAATGTTAAATTCTGATTATAATCGACCAGTTAGCACAGTTGAAAACATACAGGAATTATGAAGCAACTAATCCAGCAGAAGGCTAAATAGAAGCCTCAAATCTCGAAATGCATTTATAGTGCATCCAAAAAATGATACTTGCCAAGGTACCATCAGTCATATGTTATTTAGATTGTGCAAAGTGCATATAAAAAAAAACAATCATAATTTTCATAATAGCAAATTTTAACTATATTAGCTACAAAAAGTTGATCATTTGCATGTTTGAAAGCTCTCGTGAAGTGCTTTGAAATGTGCATTTTTATTTGATGTTTGATGTAATCTCAACTGAAACACAAAAAGAGAGGAACAATGTAGCTCCTCCCCTTTTCAAAAAACAGCCAATAATGTTTTGTTTCATCAAAGCTCCACCAGTGAAATTGGTTGAGCTTAAGCGCATCAAATGAGAAACATCTTGAAGGAGCCATGTCAGATACTAAAGAGCATTTGATTGTTTATGATGTGATGAGAAGCTGAAGTATGAGGTGACGTGAATTAAACCGTTGATCCTTTTTGGCAGAAGTGACAAACTACAAGTTTTGGAGCGCACTAGCTTATAGATATCCTACAAACGAACAACACTGACACTACTATCTAAAAACTTAACATCTTAAAATACTTAACTACTTAAATCTTAACAACTTAACATATATATATATTTTTTATATATGTTTTTTACACACACACACACTTAAGACAAAAAACATGAACTGTTATTTTCATTTGACTACTCAATTTGTTTACCTGAATACTGCTAGACTCATTGACAACCATAAAGCACTGTTTTTTTTTCATTGGTATCTTTGCTCCACTGTATTGATCAATTCTTGTGATTGGTTTATTATATTTTATACAGATGCAAAAACCTACAAAATCAACCCAATTCATCTAAAACTATGAATTCTTTACAAACAGAGCTATTCATCCGAAAAAATTACACCCAATACTGCAATATTTATCTCAGAAAAACAAGATATCACAATGTTACTTTTTTCTTTCTTCTGTTGAACACAAAATAATTCATTTATTCATTTTCCTTCAGCTTAGTCTTTTTGTTTATTAGGGGTTGCCAAAGCAGAATGAACCAACAACTATTCAACATATGTTTAACACAGCCGATGGCCTTCCAGCACCAACTCACTCTCACTCTGGCATTCACACGCTCATACACTACAGCCAATTTAGTTTATTCAATTCATCTATAGCGCATATCTTTAGACTGTGGGGGAAACCAGAGCACCCCACCCGGAGGAAACCCACACGAACAAGGGGAGAATATGCAAACTCCACACAGAAATGACAAATGGCCCAGCTGGGACTTGAACCAGCAACCTTCTTGCTGTGAGGTAACACTGCTAACCACTGAGCCACAGTGGCCCACACAAAATAATATATTTAGAAAAATGCTGGTCACCGGGACCCACTGACTCCCACATTATTTCCCCCCCTACAATGAAAGTCAATGTGTGCCAGGAATCAGCATTCATCAAAATATATTGTGTGTTCAACAGAAGAAGGATTTAAAACATCATGAATAAATGGTTCATTTTTGGAGTGAACTACCCCTTTAACAAAGCATTAATAGCCCTTCACATTAAATTACTGTTAAACATCTTTTCCAGACACAAATACACTGTTGATCAGGAAGGCAGATCATCAGCACATCATCTGACAGCTCCGGCTTCGCTAGCTTTTAGAGCTGGTCTTTTCAATCCTACATGCAGGTTTGCTATACATAAGGCTTTTCAAATCTTCAGTGGCCTTTCACAAACAGTAAGATGATCCAATCAAAGAAAGCCAGGATTCGCCGCAGAAGCCTTTTATCTAGCGTCTCCCCTGCCGCACATTTGCTTTTCATTGGGGTCCGGGACCTGCAGGAGCGTCCTGGAGCCGTGCCGAACATCACAGCGCTGATTATGCCCTCAACAGCTGCCAACAGTAATCTCAAGCTCTAAGTAGTTTCTCTGTCATCAGCTTCGCAACTTTCCCTCACCGTCCGTGGTTTGTGGGCAAAACGCCTGCCTGTCAAATTACGCTCAAGTGCTGGAATGGCACAGCTCCAGCACTGCCTGCTTACTGTAATATGTGACTTGAGGAATCACACGAATGTGCTGCTGTAATGATTCCAATTACATCTGTCTAAACTCAAGCTCAACAAGCGCGATTCGGTGGACAAATACAGATACACAGACAAATGTACGCGTACAAACATTCCCAGGCTAATCTCTTGGGCAGTGTTAATTTGATAGCAAATTTTGATTTAGTTTGTCTTTTGACTAAAATTCCATTTTAGTTTATCATATTTTAGTCTTCTGGATCATTTTAGTTTTAGTGCACTAAATTTCATAGGATTTTAATCGATTAAATCTACTCTATATTAAGTTGACTAAAATGCATTTAGTTTAATTTAATTAAATATTGTATACATTTATTCATACACAATATTCTAACTTTAAATTAAATAAAACCGTCTTATAAAAATATGCAATATAGCTTTTCTGATGAAGGCCAACAATTAGATATGCATTGTTTATTCATATTATAAATGAGGGGTTCTCAACCTTTTTCACTTTGAGGCCCACCTTTTCTCAAAAAATTTTTGCTAAGGAAAAACTGATAGTTTTATTTTTTAGCCAAACATTTCTTTTGCTTTCTATTATTCCCTTATTTTTTTTACATCATTTAAAAAAACTGGAAACATTGTGCATTAGTATATATACATTTTCTCCTTTTTTATTTAAATATAATATAAGATATAATAATATGTATTTTAATATTGAAAAAAATGCACAGACCAGTTCAAAGTTCCTGAATTTTTTACTTCAGTTATTCTTTACAACTGCACAGTTTTAGGCCTTTTCTTCAGTAAAGAAACCTGACAGGACTACAGGAGATGCAGGAGGACTTCAAGCTGCTGCTGTTTAGAATTAGACTGATTTCTATTCATCTATTGATCTATATATCCATTAAAATAAACAACCTAACCCTAAATGTAGAATACAGTAAATATAATAAAATGAAAGTCTGTTGAAACACATCGATCTGAAGGCGGTTTGGTTTGTAGCTGGACATTATTGGAGTTCGCTGAAAGGAACAGTGAACAGCTGTTCACTACTGAAACACCACAGAGTCTCAATCCTGTACGGACGAGCGTCAGTTATAAAACACTCGCAAGACATTACTTGGACAACTATACAGATATTTTAAATTGTTCACACAGAGAGGGCACGCATAGTTTGTGAATTAACAGACTTGTGCAACTCTGAAACAGTATGAGTCGCAGACATGAGGCACGCGTGAGCTGGTTATTATAACTCTCATCATCATTACCTTTACATTTGCGTGACTGTTTGCTTTATACAACTGAGAACGTAGTCCTAGTTGAAGTGCAGCGGTTGGAAATTTAAGCCACAGTTATGTCTGTAACTAACAGTGAGGCTGTTTTTGAACAGAGTCCGAATTAGCCTGATCAACCACAGAAAACGGGGAACGCCATTACTACTATCATTTTAATATGACTTGTTTAATAATGAAATAATATAATTAAAGTATAATATTTAAGTTAATTTTAAAATCTTGCGGCCCACCTGCAGGATCACTGAAGCCCAGCAGTTGAGAATCCCTGACATAAATAATATGTAAAATGATCTGTCAGCAAGAACAGAAAAACGCAGAAAAACGCAGGACTTTGCAGTTGTTTAGCAAAACCTTTATTGCTGTAAACTACTAGTCTTTTTGACCAGTCGGTTGAACAGTTTCAAGCAATTAAGTGAAGTTTCACAAACTAATTTCAAAAGGAGCATGTGATACGATTGACTGCACCTGGCCACTCATCTACACTCATTAGCTAGCCAATCAGATTGATCCAAACTCACTATAAGTAGCCTAGTTAGAAGTACTCTCTTATTTTCGTTTTTCCGAAGAAACCCCCCATCCACCCCTTCTCCTCCTTTACCAGGGGAGCTCTCGAGAACCACCTGATCTCATACTCCCCTCACATGCTCTATGGATCAGGCGGGAGCCCTGGGCTCAACTATCTCCGAGCTTAGTGTTCTCACCTGGGACAGCATGCCGAACCTTCTAACTTGCTAACAAGTTGTCAAACAATATCTAAGTGTGAACTATTGAAATCTTTAAAAGGGTTTAAAAATAGTTTACCTCCACATT